TGTGTGCGTGTGTGGGTGTGTGTGTGTGTGTGCGTGTGCGTGTGTGTGTGCGTGTGGTGTGTGTGTGTGTGTGTGTGTGTGTGTGTGTGTGTGTGTGTGTGTGTGTGTGTGTGTGTGTGTGTGTGTGTGTGCGTGCGTGCGTGCGTGCGTGCGTGCGTGCGTGCGTGCGTGCGTGCGTGTGCGTGTGTGTGCGTGCGTGTGTGGTGTGTGTGGCGTGTGTGTGTTGTTGTGTGTTTTGTTTGTGTATCTGTTTGTATTTGTATTTGTATGTATTTGTTTGTCAGGCTGTGTTTATGTGTTCGTGTATTTGTTTTTGTGCCTCTCTATGTCTCAGTATGTATTTGTGTGTGTGTGCATCTGCGCGTATTTGTGAACAAAACGTATATCTGTGTTTGTGTATCTGTATTTGTGTCTGTGTGTACTTGTCTGTATGTGCAGCATTTGTGTATGCGTGCATTCGTCTGTGCGTAATTTTGTCTGTGTCTATTTGTGTCTGTGTATATTTCCGTCTGTGTCTGTATTTCTATCTCCCAACGTGGATGAGCCTCTTGGCCTGTCTATATCGGTGTTTGGGATTCTGTCTCCCTGCGAAGTCTCAAGAAACAAGTTTACTCTATGCCCACGCAAGCTCACCTTGATTCAACGAGGCTGGCCTTGGGTGTGGGTGTGGTGCACGTATGGTGTGATGATGATGATGATGATGATGATGATGATGATGATGATGATGATGATGATGATGATGGTGGTAGTGATGATGATAGTGGTGGAGGTAGTGATGATGGTGGTGGTAGTGATGGTGATGATAGTGGTGGTGGTGGTGGTGGTGGTGGTGGTGGTGGTGGTGGTGGTGGTGGTGGTGGTGGTGGTGGTGGTGGTGTGGTTAATTTTAATGGTGGTATTGGTGATGGTGATGGTTATGGTATGATGATGAAGGTGGTGTTGGTGATGATGGTGGTGATGATGATGGTGATGTTTGTTGTTGCTATGCTCATGTTCTTGATGATGAATAATGATTAATAATGACTGATAATGGCTTTAATAATGCATTGACAATAAAAAAAAAACATCAGCAATATCAAATTGTAACAATATAACCAATAATATACATTACACTCATGATGATAATTGAAATGATATCTATTTCCTCACAACAACAAAAAATATGACAACAAAAGACAGAGTGAGATTGAAATGATAACAAAATAAGAGCAGGGTAGTGAAGATGTCAACAAAGAACAGTAACAACATAGAAAAAAGAACAACAGGAAAGGCAAAATGCTGTGGATGGATGGGGGGGTGATGGGGGAATGGGGGAGGGATGGGGAGTGGGGGAGTGAGGGTTGGGATGGAGGAATGAGAGAGGGATGGAGGAATGGGAGAGGATGGGGAATGGGAGAGGGATGGGGAGGGGGAGGGATGGTGGAGTAGAGGTGGGATGGGGGAGTAGGAGAGGAGGGGGCAGGGAAACGAGAAGGAACTTGAAGGAATTGGGGAGGGGGGGGAGAGGGGGGGGGAGGGGAGGGGGGGGGGAGGAGGAAGAAAGGGGGCAAGGGGAGGCACAAAAGTGTAGGTGGAGGGTGTGGTGTGGGTGGGTTGGGTGAGGGTGAAGGTTAGGGAGAGAGGGAGAGGGAAGAGAGAATGAGGAGGAGAAGGAGAAAAAGAAGGAAGAGGAGTAGGAAGATGAGGAAGAGAATTAGGAGAATGAGGAGGAGGAGGAGAAGAAGCAGAAGAAGAAGAGGGAGAGGAAGAAGAGGGAGAGGAAGAAGAAGAAAAAGGAAGAGAAGGAGGAAAAGAAGAAGGAAGAAGAAGAGAGGAGGAGGAGAAGAGGAGAGAGAAGGAGGAGAGAGAGGAGGAGAGGGCAGAGGAAAGGGAGGAGGAGGAGGAGGAGGAAAGGAAAGAAGAGAAGAGGAGAAAGAGGAGAGGAAGGGGGGGGTAGGAGAGGAGATGGAGGAGGAGGAGGCAGAGAAGGAGGAGAAGAAGAAGAGGAGAAAGAGGAGAAGAAGTAGAAGTAGAAGAAGAAGAAGAAGGAGGAGGAGGAGAGAAGTAGAAGGAGAAGGAAGAGGAGGAAGATGAAGATGAAGAGGAGAAGGAAAAGGAGGAGGAGGAGAAGGAGGAAGAAGAAGAAAAAAGAAGTAGAGGAGGAGAATAAGAGAAAAGACAAAAAAAGGAAGAGAAGAGGAAGGAAGGGAAGAGGAGAAGGGAGAAAGAGGAGGAGGAATCGAAGAAGAGGAAGAAGAAGGAGAAGGGAGAAGGAGAAGGAGGAGGAGGAGGGGAGGAGGGAGGTGAAGGATGGAGGTGGAGGGAAAGGGGGACGGAGGGGGGAAAGGAGGGGAGGGAGGAGAGGAGGATGGAAAGGGGGAGGGAGGAGGGAAAGGGGGAGGAGGAGGGAAAGGGAGGAGGAGGAGGAGTTGGGGGGAGCAGGGGAGGAGGATGAGGAGGAGGAAGAGAAGCTGGGTACAAGTAACCAAGTGTGTTAAAATGTGTCATCATATCTGTCAATGTGTAGCTATCAGTTAACTCTTAATTCATCCACCACTCATCATCTCACCATCTGCATGTATATCTGCCTTAATATCAGGACAATGTTAATGATAGAATCTTAATACTCCCTTTTCCTTGTGAAACTATATGAAACAAAAAAAAAGCAAAAGCCCTATATATCCTTATCAAGTAATATCTATGCTTAGGACAATTTTCTACATTCTCCAGTTGTCACAAATCTATTTCCTCATAATGTCATTGTTTTCCCAGACACTACATGATCTACTTCAGGTCTTGAATTTTTTTTCCACTCTGGTATACTATACTCTCTCTTCATTTGAAATGTTTGTTTCGTTCATAAACATTTTGGGTCAATCAATAAACAGATATTGTTCAATACTTTTGGGTCTATCAATACCCCGGAAACATCACACTAAATACTCTTCTTATCGTTTTTTGCAGTCCCACCACGCTATATATTCATATCAATGCCAAGTTAATGTCTAAAACGTATTACATTTGACATTAACCAATACGTATCTCAGGAACTCACCTGAACCTTTTAGACAATCAAAGTATATACAAGACTTTCTGCGAAAGCACAATCACAATGCACTGACATGTCTTCTAAACTGTATATGACCCGGGTACATCACTACAAAAAATGCAATATATTTCAGTAAACACGAAACAATGGCACTGGTTTTCTCTGAAAGATGCAGGAATTTGCTTCACCATTTCCTCGCCAGGACAACACAAGCATGTATGGGGCATGGATGACATGTAAATATTTGATCAAATACTTAATGACTCTCACCGTAATGTATGCATATATATACGTTATATATGAGAGACAACGTCAGTTTGCAAAGGATGAATCGCCCACTTTCCAGCTCCGTGTTTACAAACCGACTAAAACAGCTGCGAGCTGATAGCAACTCTCGCGCCAAGGTGCCAGTTTAATCCTACGTAAATATTTTCTTTTTGCTGTACCCAAGTCTTTTATTACAAGAATACTTAATTTACGACATTTTCCTTCCCCGTAATATAATTTTATCCATGTGTTTAATATCTCAGTTTCAATAAAGAAAAAAATGGACGCACACGTTTACATTTGGCACCACCGCATTTACGTCAGACTAGATTGCGCGCGCTGGAACTTGTTCTCTATGTACAGAGTCCATAAAGCTCAGTGTCATTTCAGGTGAGATTTCCTTAATGTTTGCAATTTAGTGTACCAATCAAGAGCATCAATTGTTTCGTTTCTTAACACCAGTATTCCAAATTTCCATATGATATTAACAGATGTTGAACAATAATCGTATTACACGCAGATCGGGCAACGGTTAGGTTTTAACGTCAAGGACACTATACGAAACCTCATATACCTGTTGGGCAACAATCGGAGGTCCATTCACAGGTCTGAAGGTCTCAAGTGTTGTTCAAGTTCAGGGCACACCTATTTTTGCCCTGCTCTTTCTACGAGTGGCAGAGTGAGCATACCCACACAAAAGATAAACAAGTATACGCACCCACACATATAAGCCGCGCACTTACTGACACGCTTACTCAACTATGTAAGTGTACATACATATATATTTAAGCACATATATGTATGCAGCATCAACTTATACTTACGTGTATACATGTATGTATTTACATACATACATATATATGTATAAATATTTATATATGTATTTATCTATTTGAATATATGTTTGCATATGTATAAGTTTATAGACATACTTATTCTGTGAATATGAGTATATATCTGTGTGTGTGTGTGTGTGTGTGTGTGTGTGTGTGTGTGTGTGTGTGTGTGTGTGTGTGTGTGTGTGTGTGTGTGTGTGTATATATATATATATAATATATATAATATATATATATATATATATATATATACATATATATATATACATACATGAATATATATACAAACATACATATATATGTAAATATATAATACATACATATATGTATATATACATATATATGCATACACACACACACACACACACGCACACACGCGTTTGTGTGTGTGTTGTGTGTGTGTGTATGTGTGTGTGTATGGTGGTGTGTGTGGTGTGTGTGTGTGCGTGTGTGGTGTGTTGTGTGTGTGTGTGTGTGTGTGTGTGTGTGTGTGTGTGTGTGGTGTGTGTGTGTGTGTGTGTGTGTGTGTGTTGTGTGTGTGTGTGCGTGTGTGTGTGTGTGTGTGGTGTGTGTGTGTGTGTGTGTGTGTGTGTGTGTGTGTGTGTGTGTGTGTGTGTGTGTGTGTGTAAAACATATAGATATATACATATCAACATACATAGAGAGAGAGAGAGAGAGAGAGAGAGAGAGAGAGAGAGAGAGAGAGAGAGAGAGAGAGAGAGAGAGAGAGAGAGAGAGAGAGAGAGAGACAGACAGACAGAGACAGACTGAGATTTACATGAATGGAAAAGCCAGGACTGTACCCATTGAAATGCAGCCATTCAGGTATGACTGAATACGAAAAGTAGAAAAAACCTTGTCTTTCTCACCTCATCTTTCTGTCTTGCTCTCGGCTCTTTCTTGGTCGTCTTGTCCTTCTGTCGCTGCCGCTTCTGCGCCCTGTTTTTCTTCTCCTTGGCACTCTTCTGCTTCGGGGTCACGGAGTCCTCAGGGCCAAAGAGACTGACGACCCCCGCGGACACGCCCCCCTCCTCGGCGTCCTCGTCCTTCCACATCCTTAATGGTTCCTTGTGACAGCTTCAGGCTAGGGCTCGGCTAGGAAGACGGTGATCTGAAGGCGCTCCTCTCCCACTCCGGGTCCTGTTTGGAACATTAGGGGGAATTTCATCGCCTGTCACACTCCGTGGACACGAGAGGTGTTCTGCTCACGTAACACGCCCTAAGCATGACATATGCGTTCGCTGAGATACACTCCTCGATCAAAACACTGCGTCACGGGGGATCTCCAGACCACACGCACTAGCATTCAGCCACAAGAGGGTTGTATAAAGTATTCCTCACTAATTAACACTTCCTGCTTTTGTCACATGACCTGATCATATCATAAGTACTGATTGTGATATCTGTACCACGTATGTGTCACTGAACATATTCACATGATAAATACCTGTACATTTACATTAATCTAATACTCATGTCAAATTCACTGTGGTATGATTCTTAAAGGGCAAGTTTTATGGGCAAATTATATCACCTGATCGAGCCCCAAGCTCATGTCCATCTTGGAAAAGGAAGATTTTTTCTGCATTTGCTTACGCAAGAAAATATCTATTGCATTAATCAAAATGAAAGACCTTATGGTGTTCATGTCTCTGCCTGTGACACTGAATGTTACTGATTTCCCTAAAGTACTTTGTATGTAAAAAAGAATTAGGAGGTTCCTGAAGCACATTCATCTATGTCAAACATTACTGCGATGAACTTTCAAAATGACCCATTTTTACATTGTCACTACATCCTATGCACACTTTCAGGAGCTGCTTTGCCATTTCTCGCACGCCACCAACACAACGACAAATCCACTGCAGGGCAACAACGATCGACGCTACAAGCACTAAGTACTTTCCTGACGCAGTTGGTTGTCCCTGTGTGGTGTTTAGGACGCCACTACTGCTCAACAGGTAGCTGTAGTCGGGAATAACAACCCAAACTTAAACATTTCTCCGCGGCACAACCGATAGAAATAGACCGGGCCTGTGTGCCAAGTTTTCGATCCCGAGGAACTTGTGTCTTGGTCCATACAACAGAGGACGTCGCCAGAGCAGGCCAATGTGCGTCCTCAAGTCGCAGATTGAAATGCGGTGGTGCTAAGGAACTGCTTCTAACGGAAAGGCCTGTGCACCAACACGATTGAGGATTCGTGATCTACGTAGGATTTTTTTCTCTCTCTTTCCTTTCTCTCTCTTTTCTCTCCCCCTCTCTCTCTCTCTCTCTCTCCCTCCATCTCATCTCTTTTCTCTCTCTCTCTCTCTCTTCTCCCTCTCTCTTCCTCTCCTCTCTCTCTCTCTCTTCCTCTCTCTCCTCCTCTCTTCCTCTCTCACTCTCTCTCTCCTTTTCTCTCTTGCTCTCTCTCTCCTCTCTCTCTCTCTCTCTCTCTCTCTCTCTTCTCTCTCTCTCTCTCTCCTCTCTCCTCTCTTCACTTCCTCTCTTCCTTTCTCTCTCTCTCTCTCTTCTCTCTTCTTTCTCTCTCCTCTTCCTTTCTTCTCTCTCTCTCTTCCTTCTTTCTCTCTCTTCCTCTCTCTCCTCTCTCTCTCTCTCTCTCTCTCTCTCTCTCTCTTCTCTCCTCTCTCTCTCTCTCTCTCTTTCTCTCTCTCTCTTCCCTCTTCCTCTCTCTCTCTCTCTCTCTCTCTCTCTCTCTCTCTCTCTCTTTCTCTCTCTCTCTCTCTCTCTCTCTCTCCTCTCTCTCTCTCTCTTCTCTTCTCTCTCTCTCTCTCTCTCTCTCTCTCTCTCTCTCTCTCTCTCTTCTTCTCTCTCTCTCTCTCTCTCTCTTCTCTCTCTCTCTCTCTCTTTCTCTCTCTCTCTCTCTCTCTTCCCCCCCCCCTCTCTCTCTCTCTGCGAGAAAGTTCTGCAGAAGATATTCCAAAGAAAAATATTTATAAATTTTGCCATACCCGTCCAACATTACTCACCTCTTTAATTGCTCGCTGTCTACGGGGACATTTCCTAATAAGCTTAAAGTAGCTTGGGTTATCACAAGCCACAAAGGAGGTTCAATTATTGATAAAAAAAAAAATACTTTGGTCCAATCTCCATTTTAAATACCCGTCGTAAAATTCTTGAAACTTTAATGTATAATAGAGTAAATGAATTCAGCAATACGCACCATTTTCACAGATTATCAATTTGTTTTTCGACAGAAAAGATCAGAGTCAGCTCTATAATGTTTTACAAATGTTTTTTTTTTTTTTTACAAAAGCATTCGATACGGTAGACCATAACATGCTATTAGATAAGCTACATCTATTATGAAATCCGCGGTACTTCACATGCTTGGTTTAAGGACTGCCTGTCTGATAGAAAACAATGCGTGTGCAATAATGCCAAGACTTCTACAGTTCCCCCAATCAATTATGGTGTACCTCAAGGCTCCATATTAGGGCCCCTCTTATTTATATTATATATTCATGACTTGCCACAGGCCTCAACCAGTTTAAAATCCAACCTGTTTTCAGACGACAGTACAAAGAGCGTATTCACTTAACAATCAAGAATATTGACAACCTCATCCCCAATGATAACAAAGAATTAATTAATACTAGAAGCTCTCAGACAGTGCAAGGCAAGCGGGTCACTGATGCAGCAAACGTATTCACACGAAGAATTTCTCAAGTACAATGGTGGCGCCCGTGTTTCCCGATTTCGCAATGCTAATGGACCCTTTAAAGAATACTGGATCCGGATCATAATCCAAGACTTAATGGCATCTGTTAGGCTAAGACACACCTCTGAAAAAAAAACTTCATAAAAATATGTTCATAACTTTTTGAGTTATCCTGCTAACAATCAAACCATCGCTACTAAAAAACTAGCTTGACGGGGTAATAATCAACTGGTTATATGCGAATAAACTTACTGTTAACTGTTATCAAAACACAATAATTATCTTCCATAGACAAATTATTTACATACCCTCTCAACCGGGGAAGGTAATGAAATAAAATTTCTTTGAGTCACTGTTAATAAACATTTCCATTGGCTCTACCATATTCAAAGGGTCCGAAATAAAATTGCAAAAGTATGTGGTTAAATAAATCAAGCTTGAAACCATTTTAAAAAAGCTCCTATAAAATTATATTGTACCTTAGTTTAGTAAAGGTAATAATTTGGGGAACCGTGACCAAACCAACATTGCTCTCACCGAGATGGTTATTAAAATTTAACGATATGTGTACACGTTTATATGTATGTGTTCATGTATGTATGTACACACGCTCGAACCACGCATACGCACACACACACACACACACACACACACACACACACACACACACACACACACACACACACACACACACACACACACACACATATGTGCCGTCTATACACACAAATGCTTAATTTGTCCCAACACATTTCCTAACGATTTCAGTTACAAATATTCATTATTCCATGATATAATTTAGACTTCGCGAGCCACAGGTCTCAGTCCCCCAGGCACAAATACGAAAGTTATCGTGGGGCTCAGTTCTATAACAAATTGCCACCTGAGATCATTGTTTTCAAATGCTTTAAGTCCACAAAAAATTATGAATAAACAAATAAATAAATAAAAAATAAAAATGATATCACTAGCATTGCTATAGTATTACTGTCTAGTGCTTACTTCGTGTGTACATGTTTACGTAAATATGAAAATCCTTTGTTTATCCTTATTTTCTAATGCCAGTGTTACCATTAGCACTTTCTCATATTTATCAGTGTGTTAGTATAATATTACTTAGTAGTAATAGTACAAAATGTTTTCTTGAATAACCCTGTTTAATATTTGCGTTTAATTTTGATACAATGTGTTATGTAAATCCAGAATTTGTAATTATTGCTACTATCTTTGTATCTTGCAAATGTATAGACTGTATTCCATGTCATATTATGCCTTAATTCCATGTCATTATTTAATTATCATCAGGTCATTTTGTTTGGTAAAACGTTTCTTTGTCAACTGTGTTGTGTGTTGATCTTTTTAAGGCTTTGCCGATAACCAAAAAATCGGTCATACTCTGATCATTCTATGTAAAATGATTGGAACTGTAAAAAATATATATATATATATATATATATATATATATAATATATATATATATATATATATACATGAATTTCAGTTTCACCTCTCCTTCTCTCCCTCCCTCTCTCTCTCTCTCTCAAACACTATCACTCACTCTCTTCTCCCTCCCTCCTCTCTCTCCTCTCTCTCTCTCTCTCTCTCTCTCTCTCTCTCTATCTCTCTATATTATATATATATATATAATATATATATATTATATATATATATATATATATACTGTGTATAATATATATATATAATATATATATATATTATATATATATATATATATATATATATATATATATATATATATATATCCCTCTCTCTCTCTCTCTGTCCCACTACCCCTACCTCTTTCTTTCGCCCTCTCTTTCCTTCTCCCTCCCTCATTCCCCGTCCTTCCTCCCTCTCCCTCTCCCCCTCCATCTCAGAGGGAGATATCCAAACCCAACAGTGCCGCTGCCAGATGGCATCGCACCACTCCCTTGTGAAGCAAACACAAGAATGTTACATGCATTATCCCATAGTCCCTTTACTCGCAGCCTTTCACATAGAGACGCAAGTAATGTTGCTATGGAAAAGATGGGCAAAGAGGTACAGCACTGTGACGCATTATTCTATAGGTAATGGCAATGTAAACAAGGAATTGCCAAGGCGAGAGTTTTTCAGCTTTGGGACAAAAGTGCAAGTGGCAGTAGGCGAAAGTGACAGTAAGATAAATTCCGAAGTGAATGATTTCGCAGACTTTTTTCGTATTAGTGGTGAGACTCTGGGAAAAAATAAATATAGACAATGATCTTTAGCATTACAGTGTGCATTTATATTAATCAAACGGGGCAATATGGAAATTGTAACTGATTTCAACACAAAGACCCAAGAACGGAACAAACAAGATGCGACGACTGTGATCCCGGACAACAAACGCGGAGTCACCTGGGACACCACGTGCCTCGCTTCTGGCGGCTGGCCGACGGCGCTCTTTCTTCTGGCGTGTTCCTGGGGCCGTACCTGGCGCGGGCCGAATGCGTGTACACTTCTGTTGTTATACACCTCTACCCAAATATGTGTGCATATATATGGTTATGTATACATACACACGTGTGTATGTATAAGCGTGTATATATATATATATATATATATATATATATATATATATATATATATATATATATATATATATATATATATACATACACACAAACACGCATGTATGTATATTTATGCGCGCACGCGCGTGCATGTGTGTTGATGAAGAGATAGATGGCTATATGTTTATACCAGTACATAAAGTATAAATTTTTTTACTTGTATGAGTGTGTAGCAGACAGACAAACAGCCACGCATTCCCTGACATATGAGCACACACATCATACACAGCAGTTTTCTTTATTATTGAATGTAGTGTTGACAACAGGGAGAGAAGCGTCAGGTTCTCGTACGTGTGTTAGTAAACATAGCGACCTCAGGAGTTTTTTTTTTTAGACTAAGCTTACTGTTTTGGTAACGTTAGCATTTTTTGAATGGAAGTTCAATAGCGAGAATGTGCAAACGTTTGTCTGTAAGAAACTGTCAATTGTCATAATCGGAGATAATACATAAATATATGTCGATATCGATATCTATGTATATACCTATAAAGCAACATATTCTTTGCTTTAGTCATGTTCAACAGCAGAGTTGATTTCGAACAGATACATGCACAGGCGCTCGCTTCAAGATTTCTTGAAAAATCACTTCAGTAAACACAGTAGAACATTAAAAGGTTCCTTGTCCTTATTTTTAAAGAGAAGTCTTTAACCAACGCGTTCTTCCAGGCAGGACTACGACCAACATACTGTAGAGGAAACTAGTTT